AAATCCAGGCTTGATGGAGCACACCTACTGTGGATTCCAGTAATCAGGAGGATGTGAGTTCTAGCCTAAGCTACATAGTGAGACTGTCTCAAGAAAAGAGAAAAGAAAGAAAGAGAAAGAAAAAAAAAGGTGGTGGTGGGGGAGAGACTGCTTTCTTTAAGCCTTAGGGGATATAAATGAACATTAGCTTGGTGCCAGTGGCTCACGCCTGTAATCTTGGCTACTTAGGAGGCTGAGATCAGGAGGATGAAGGTTTGAGGCCAATCTGGGCAAATAGTTTGAGAGACTCCGGCTCGAAAATAACCGGAAACAAGTAGACTGGAGGCATGGTTCAAGGAGTAGAGCGCCTGTTTTTGCAAGTGTAAAGCCCTGAGTTCAAACCCTAGTTCCACCAAAAAAAAAAGGTAATTAAACCTTTTTTTTTTTGCAAGTGCTCTACTGCCTAAGCCACGCCTCCAGTCTGAGCATTAAACTTTTACTTGCTGTGCAAATGCCAGGTTGAGCAAAGATATTGGTGGCCATTGACTAGTGATTTTAAAGGTTGTTTAATTTCTGTCCCCTAGGTAGTAATTTAATATAAATTTTCTAGATTCCAGGAAAGAAAATACAAGGAAAGTAAATAGATTATACATATTACAGTATTTGACCAATTTGAGGCCAGGGTGGCAAGCGCTTGGGTTTGAATGCAAGGCCTCATGCTTGCTAGGCAGGTGCTCTACCACTTGAGCCACTCCACCAGCCCTTGATATTTTAGTATAGGTAATATGAAATTAATGCCTGATAAGTTATCTATATGTAGGAAAAACAGATAATTTGAAGAATTTTCACAATTTGATTTCATTGAAAATCCAAATTTATATATGAGAAGATCAAAACATACTCTTCAGGTTTTGCTCCTGTGTTACATAGGTTCTAATTATCTTCAGCATTTATAGAAAGACATCAGTTGACAAAAGTTTATGAACTTCAAATTATAGTTATATTTGGAGATCCCACTGAATTACATATTGTTCCCCTATAGTCCTAAAAATGTTCCTATTGTAGCATGAAAAAAAATTGATATGATTCACTTTAAATTTAAGGTTGTATCCATTTCTTAGAGTGACAGTATATGTTACCCTGAAATATTCCCCACATATGTTGATACAATACATAAATTATAAAAAAGTGAGTTCCTGTTACTTACATTTGGCGTTCCACATGGAACTCCATGGGCCTTAATTAAAATCAGTTAATATGAACCAAAGTAAATTAATAGGGTCTTTAAGAATTAAGTCTTATAAAACCTACTATAAGGGTGAGTATCTTTACTCTTTATCCATTTGACCAGTTGTCATTGCCTGTGCTTAAAGCTGAAATTAAATGAATAAGTAAATGTTGGTCAAAATGAGTTACTGCAGCCTTAATACTATGATTTCGTTCATGAAGGTGCCATATCCAGTTGTTGTGAATACAGGTGCTAATTCTGTGCAGTCAATAGCTGGGGAATATTTTGCTTTTATACATTGGCTAACTTCATTGATGTCCTATCTGAATAGCCTCTCAGATCAGTGTGCCTCCATCTTGAAAGGGACATAATTCACTTTTTCCATACTGCTCTGGGGTACTTCAGCACCTTTTTCATCTCATACAGTCTTTGAAAACAACATCTTAACTATATCCACCTTTCTCCAGGACCATAGGTATGATATGATACTCCTCTACCAGGGACATTCAGTGATAACACTTTTTAGTGCTGAATATTCTGCATTTGCAAATTGTTTTTATAGATTAAAAATCAACAGGGATTCCTTTGCTGCAGAGGCTGGGGCAATCTCTTTTCATGACTCCTGGATAGTCATGTACCAGTTCTGATGAGCATTTGTTGCCCCAGGCTTCAGATGGGAATTACCTCTCTCAGCCTTGTGCTAGACATCATTAAAACAGGCATTAGTTTGTTAATTGCTGGTCTCTGCTGGAAACAGAGGATCTCAGAACCAGATCTAGTGATTGTCCATAATCAGCTGCACTTTACACTGTAGTTCATGAGTAGTCTGTAATCTTTTATAGCCATCATGGTCTTTCTAGACAATATGGGCAAATCTAGGCTTCTGGAGAGAGTTGTTTCCCACTTTTTATTCCCTTGACAGATTTCAGAGTACTGGTACTGGAGGTCATCTCTAGATCCTGTGGCTATCTCAGGAGCCCCTTATCATTAACTGAGAGAACAACAGTGGGAGTTCGTGAATTATGGGACTGGCACTGCTGAATGTCCAGTGCTGTAGCTCACTGGAATGTTGCTATTTTTATCCCCCTCACCAGGATGTTCCTAATAAAGGGCAAAGATGCATCTTTTCATTAGTTACAAATTATTGAGCCATTACTTGTCTTGGCTTCTTCAGGAAACAAAAGAAAAATTTCTTAGAATCTGTTGCCTTACAGATAATCAAAGTAAAAATAAAAATTATACATGTCTTTTTATTACTAGGACCACAGTACCCCTTTTCCCTTCAGTAACTAAGATGAGCCTTTTTATTTTTCAAAATAAAGCAGTACTAGGATTTTAGAAAATAACTTGATAGAGCTTTTATATCTCTGGTGGATCCTAGATAATTGTTCTCTATAAATACTTCATTTTAAATTAGAGTAGAATGAATCAACCATTGCAGTTTTATCTTGCCCAGACCTGTTTTTGTTGTTTTGCAGTACTAGAGTTTGAACTCAGAGCCACTCCACCAACCATTTTTTTTGTGAAGGGTTTTTTGAGATAGGGTCTCTTGAATTATTTGCCTGGGCTGGCTTCGAACCTTGATTCTCCTGATCTCTTGCCTCCTGAGTAGCTAGGATTGTAGGCTTTAGCTACTGGTGCTTGGCCATACCAGTATCTTACCACGTAAGGGCAAGAGGTCAGATCACAGAAGGCATGCAGTTGCTAATTTGATGTGAAACCCATTTGAACCTTTACTTCCATTAAATAAATTGAAGGTCTGAGGAGTGACTCAAGTGGTAGACTACTTGCCTAATAAATGAGAGGCCCAGAATTCAAATTCCAATATCTCAAAAAAAACAAAACAACAACAACAAAAAAAACAAACCCAAAACCTGAAGCCTCATCATGTGCACAGAATTTGATCTATTGTTTTTTTGGATGGTGCTGGGGGTTGGACCCAGGGACTTGTGCATGCTAGGCTAGTGCTGTACCACTGAGATTCATACCTAGTCCTGACGTTTTGTCTTATGACCAAAATGGGCACTTATTGGAAGCCTACATCAACTCAACTGGGACTCCACTATGAAGGATACCTGGTTCTTGACACTAAGGTGAACTCAGTCAAGCCCAGAATGTCATAGTGGAGATGGGACTACCTGAGATGACATTGTATCAGCTATCATTCCCGTGACTAGAGATGCACTCACTCTTTTGCTGGAGAGAATGTCACTACTTAAACTAAAGCTGCCACCAAGCAATGCCAAGGAGTACCTCTCCTGAGGCACAAATTGTACAGAGGACATTTTTTTACTTATTTTTATCCAGCTTACTGTCTCTTGAACCTGGGACTCAGGTAAACTCTGCTCTGTGCTGCAATGTCCACCTGTATGTGTTTGGGCTGAAGTGAAACTGTACAGATTACTAAAAGTAATGGGAGTTACTTCTTTCCCTAGAAGGGACTTGTCCTTGCCCCTGCCTAGGAGAGTAATGTCCACATCCTGAAGCCTTTCTCCTACCCCTCCGGTTTTCCACCATATGCATGACCACCTCAGCCACTTTTTCTCTTTGATGAAACACAACATGCAGTTCTTACAGCTTCTTTATGATCCACATAATGACACCTTTGGTGTCTATTGTGGCCCTATTATGTAATTTTTCATTTCTGGGCTGCTTTCGCTAATGAAACCGTATCTGAGTGTGCAGTTGGGTATATAGGGATACCCATATCTCTACCAACTTTGACCTATTTTTTCTTTCTCAGTTTTGTGGCTTGAATGCAGGGCCTTCATCTTGAGCCACTCTGCCAGCCCTTTTTGTGATGGTGATTTTTGAGATAGGGTCTTGAGAACTATTTGTGTTCGCTTCAAACTGCAATCCTCCTGATCTCTGCTTCTTGAGTAGCTAGGATTACAGGTGTGAGCAACTGGTGCCTGGCCTAATTTTTCTTTTTGACTGTACTGGGCTTTGAACTCAGAACCTTGCATTTGCTAGGTGGGTGCTCTACTACTTGAGCCACACCTCCAGCCCATGACCTCCCGTTTCTTGTAGGTCTGGGGATGGAATCCAGGGCTTTGCCCATGCTAGGCAAGTACTCTTTCACTGAATTGTACCCCAGCCCCTGATTTTCCTTTTCAACCAACCCAAGAATGCCAGGCAAAATGATCAGTATTCATTCTTCTCTCAATAGGACATGTCATGGACACACAGGATGCCAGCACTGGCACCAGTATGTCAGCCTTTCTCAAACAAAGTCAAATCATTGGGGTAAACCAGTATCATTCTGTGGCCCTTTCATACTGTTTACAGGAACTGCAATAAACATTGCCTGTTAGGCAACAAGTCATGGAGCCTCCTTCTGAAATTAAATGAATAACAGACTGGCTTTTGACTAAATGGAAACCAGGGAAGAAGGGCTTTGTGGTATTCAAAGTACCTCCTATATGTTCCTAGCCAGGTGTAGGAAAAAAACCAAAGAAGCCAAGAGATAAAAGTTTTTTTGTGATTTAATCAACAGGTTCCCTTCAATTCAGAGATGCCAGGCATGTTTTCCTGGCTTTTGTCTTGTTTTCTTGGCCATTACTGATAAAAAAAATCACCTAATTGTGGACTGGGTCCCAGAACATAATCATAGGTCTCATAGAGTCTTGCTATTTATTGTCTTTATGAAAGTTTACCTCTGATGGATAGGTCAGTCTGTCTCAACATTAATAGCTAAACAACCCAAGTGGCAAGTGTTACTCATCTCAGTTGATACTTTTAAGATGTTGAGGGATCACAGAATGTTTTAAAAAAATTTTTTTGGTTTTTTGAGTCTTGCTATGTAGCCCAGGCTGGCCTTGAATGCCTGATCCTTTTCCTTCAACCTCCTGAGTGATCGGATTATACATGTGTACCAACACACCTGGTTTAGAAATTAATATTTTCTAGATACTTCAGTATTTTCACAAATGGCTACAAGTACCCAGCTCAAACAGTAAGGGAGAGCAGCGTCAAGACTCATCTCTGGGCACATTTGCTTTTTGCCCTCACCTGGCTGTGAACTATGGATAACCAAACATCATTGAAACCCCTTTTGTGTGTTCCACATAATGTGGGCTCCACAGTAGCTTCCTGCTTTTAGTTCCCTGTCCACCTGATACACAGAAGAAAGCTGGCTAAACTCCAGTTTGGCAGTGCCCCTTTCCTAGTGCAAGGGGGAGTCAGGTGTATTTCATTTTTATTTTACTTTGTTATAGTTGTCATGTAACTTTTGCTATATTTATAGTATGCAGCATGCTCTTTTATTTATTTTTTATCCAAAATGTGTTTATTAGTATGGTTTCCCGCTCATCTTGATTCAGGGTACTTTTAATACTGCTTCTTTCTGAAGGACTATTCTTTTGTGAGCCTTGCTTTGTAGAATGCAGCTGTGAACACATTGGTTCCTGAGATTTTCCTTGATGGGATGGGAGATAGTCTCCTTAAGTTGTAATTTGTTTTTGTGGTTATCTACTTTTTTTTTCTTCTTTTTTATTTTTGTTTTGTCAGTACTTTGGTGTTTGAACTCAGGACCTCAGGCTCGATCTGCAGGTAGGTGCTCTACTATTTGAACCACTCTGCCAGCTCTTTTTCTCTTTGGGTGTGCTTATTGTCATGAACTTTACTCTTACATCTGGAGTTTTAAAATTTTTTAAAATTTATTTTATTTGTGTGTGTGTTGGGTTTGAACTTAGGGCCCTCTATTGCTGGAGCTACACCTCTAGTCCTTTTTTTGCTGCTGGTTGTTTTTCAGCCTGGATTGTGATCCTTCTATTTATGCTTCCTGCAGTAGCTGAGAGCCATGTGCCACCGTGCCCAGCATTTTCTGTTGACACAAGGTCTCCTTAACTTTTTGCCCCAGCTGGTCTGGAATTGCCATCCTCTAGTGTTTAGCTGCAATGATAAGCTTGAGTCATGCCTGGCTGTTCAGTCTTCTTGATGAACAGATCCCTTCATTATGTAATAACCTTTTGTCTCCTGTTAGGTTCCCCTGCCACTAGTACAGGGGTTTGAACTCAAGGCCTTACGCTTACTCGGCCACTCTACCACTTGAGCCACCCCACCAGCCATTTTTTGTGTGTGTTGGGTATTTTTGAGATAGGGGCACACTTTTTCCCAGGCTGACCTTGAACAGAGATCTCCTGATCTCTGCCTCCAGAGTAATTGGGTTTATAGATGGAAGTCTCTGGTACCCTGCTTCCTCTTAGTTTTTTACTTAAAGCCTATTTTGTCTGATAGAAATATAGCTACCCCTGTTCTCTCTGTTTGTATTTGCAAATCTTGTTCTATGCTTTCACTTTTTTTTTTTTTTTTTTTTTTTTGGCGTTTGACCTGAGAACCTTATGGTTGTGAAGCAGGTGCTCTACTGCTTGAGCCACACCTGCAGTCCACTTTGCTTTGGTTATTTTGCAGTGTTTCTTATGAACTGTTTGCCCTGGCTGGCCTCAAATCTCAGTCCTCCCGATCTCAGCCTCCCAAGTAGCTAGGGTTACAGGAATGAGTAGCCAGCATGCAGCCATGCTTTCACTTCTAATCTATGTGTGTCCTGAAAGGTGAAGCGAATGTCTTGTATGCACCATTATAAATGCATCTTGCTTTTTAAATCCTTGCAGCCACTTTGTGGTGAGTGTTTTGGTGGTGCTAGGGTTTGAACTGAGGGCCTCAAGCCTTCTAAGCAGGTCCTCTACCACTTGAAGCATTTTACCAGCCCTTGAGAAGTGAGTTTAATCTGTGTCTATTCAGGGTAATTATTGATAGGTAAGGACCTCCTATTGCAATTTTGTTGTTTCTTGGTGGTTTTGTAGATCTTTTGTTTTTTTCTTCCCCTCTATCTTTAGTACAGTATTTTAAACTGGTAACAACTTGGTTAATATAGAATAACTATATTCCAGTTTTGTGTGTGTATGTGTGGGTTTGAACTCAGGGCCTACACCTTGAGCCACTCTACCCCAGCCCTTTTTTGTGATGGTTGTTTTCAAGATAGGGTCTCTCCGACTATTTGCTTGGGCTGGCTTCAAGCTGTGATCCTCCTGATCCTGCCTCCTGAGTAGCTAGGATTACAGGCGTAAGCCACTGGCACCCGGCTATCACCTTTCATTTTATGTGTTTAATTTTGCAATTTTTATCTTTAAGTTGCATTATTGTAGCTGTCAGTATTTTTAATAATTTGATTTTTAACCTCCTAAGGATATAAATGATAGACCACCATTACAGTATTAGAATATTGTGAATTTGTGTACATCTTTTTATCAGAGAATATGTTTTTGTCCCTGTTGTCTTCCCATGCTCCATTCAGTCCTCCCCACCCCTTGCTGGGGGATCATACCCAGGGTCTTATGCTTGCTAGGCAAGTACTTCATCACTGAGCTACATCCTCAGCCCTCTCCTTCCATTTTTCAAGGATAGCTTTACTAGATTCAGTTGGCAACTTTTTCTGTTCAGCCATTATATATTCTCTCATGTGTGTTGATTTGTAAGTTCCTGATAACAGATTTGCTCAGCCTTTTTAGAGTGCCTTCGTATTACGTGATTTACTTTTTTTCTTTTACTGCCTTTAGGCATGCTCTCTATTTACTTTTTTTTTTTTCCTCTTGGTGCTAGGAATCAAACCTACAGCTTTGTGTGCTCTAAGCACGTGCTGGATCCCAGTCCTGCATTTATTTATTTGTTTATTTTGAGCAGGGTCTCTGTGTGGATAGCAGAGTGCCTAGAACTCATTTTGTAACCCAGGATGGTCTTGAGCCTCCACCCCCACCCTCACCTTTTATCGGCTGGACCTGGTGACTGGAGCCATAAAAGATGAGGGGACTACTAAGTCTTGCTCAATAGCCACTTTAATGAATATCACTTCTGCTTTTTGTAAACTCCTTTTTTCACAGAGAGCATGTGGTCAGAAAAAGCACGCCAAGTATTACATGTCAAGATTACACTAGTACAGGGAAGCACAGTTAAAATTAACTCTTTGTTATGTCTCCTTTAAAATGGGAACAGAGAAACAGGAGAAGCACATGGTCAGCATAACCTTCTTATTTACATCTGAAGGACACAAAGCCATCTGGGGAACCTTAAGCACTGTTGTTTTTCTGGATGTCTGGTTCTGAGACTTTTGTCTCAGTTCCTTGGAGCTTTCTTACAAGGCCAGATACCAAATCACACAGGCACAGTCTGGTCCTGAGGCCTTTGCCTCAGTTCCTTGGAGCTTTCTCACAAAGCCAGATATCAACTCACACACACAAGGTCCCACTGCTGGCTCTGACACCTCCCCATCAGGATTTAAATTCAGGGCCTTGTATTTGCTAGGGAAGCACTTCATTATCTGACCCAAGCCTCTAGACCTTTGTGCTTTAGTTTGTTTCTCAGATAAGGTCTTGTGCTTTTGCCCAGGCTGGCCTTGGACTGCAGTCCTTCTACCTCTTCCTTCCAAGTAGCTGGGATTATAGGTATGTATTACCATGCCCAGCTTGGTGTTTTTGCTGTTGTTGGTTTGTGTGTTTTGGTTTTGATACTTTTTTTGGGGAGGTGGGGCTGGCACTAGGGGTTTGAACTCAGGGCCCCACATTTGCTAGGTGTGGGCTCTTACCGTTAGCCACTCCACCAGCCTATGTTTCTTGTTTTGATTTTGTTGTTTTGTGGTACTGGCGCCTGAACTCAGAGCTTTCTGCTTGCTGGGTAGATGCTGTAGTACTTGAGCCATGCCTCTGGCCCTGTATTGTGTTTTTAGGATTTGGGTTTCTAACTCAATGTCTTTCTCTTCTATTGAAGCCCTGTAAATCAAGAATTTGCTGTTCTGTTGCTTTCCCATAAATACCTTAAGTGTTCTTTCTATTTTCGTTTTTTCTCCCATGACTCTACAGTTTTATTTATCCTGTCTTGGGGATTGCAGGCTCTTCTGCTTGGTTAGTAGTTTTTGCTCTTTATTGTGCTTTTTATTTCCTTTGTCTGAAAGCTGAAGGAAGGAATAAATACACATGGAAGCAGAGCACACTGGAGAAAGTTCTTATCAGTAGTATAAGGTGGTTCTCTGAGAAGACTCAGGAAACATTCAGGTGCTTGGCAAACAGTGTTCTGGTGCTGCTCTTGCAGGTGCTTTCTTTCCTCTACCTTGAGCCCCAGGCAGAGACCAGTACTTTCATACTGGGGCTCCAGTGCAGCTGAGCAGTGAGTGGCATGTATTCTGATGAGTTTGTAAACCTTGGCATTCTGGTTGTAATGCCTTACTGTCAAAGGTAGATATTACATTGTAAGTAACCCACATAGCAATTTCCCAAATCATTTATATGGTGGTTATTTTGGGTATAGTGACCACCATAGAAGATGAGACAAAGTTATCTGTGAAGTCCTGGTTTCTTGCTTCCTCACTGTATGATATTGGAACAGTCACTTGTGTTTTTCTGAATCTAGGTTGTTTCATTTTATAATAGTGATTATGATATTTGCTGTGAAGGAATGTTAGAGTAATTGAATTAATAGAATAATTATATATAATTGACCGTATATAAAAATACATATAAAAAGCTTCCGGTATAATTTACAATACATTGGGTTCCTTGGGAAATGACAGTTGATGTTTAATTCCATATTGTATGGTGTGGCATTTTTACTGGCTTTTACCTGTTTTACCAGCAGAGAGTTGATACATGATATTTGGCAACTGCTAAGTAATGCTTGTTAATGATTGATGTCAACAGGAATCTAAATAATCCTGCTTAAAGAGGAATGAGTATTGTCATTATCCACTTAGATTCGTAAACTGCCCTGAAGGGTCCTTGGCATCACAGAAGAGCGGGATCACACATTTCATCATAAGACTACAGAATGGACAGTAGTAGTCCCTTGCATGGTAAGTCCTGTTGCTGTAGCTTTTCAGGGAATTTGCTATGGATCTCCACAGTATAGACCCAAGAGAGCTTGGCCAGAACAGTTTCACTGCTAGTCCATTTTGAGGTACTAAAGTAGGCCAGAGGGGGCTGTTTTGTAAGTGTGCTCTGCTTTGGAGAAGAAAGTACATAATCCCATTCCTGAGTTCTGTCACCACAGGTGAATTAAATTGTTACAGTGAGAGCAGTTTCTCCTTTTATTTTTCTTGATGGGCAGCATGACTCAGGATCACTTTTCTGGCTATGTAAGTGACATAGAATTGCTGTGGTTTTGTGTGTGAGTTGTTTCGAATGAATTGGATTGTATGTCACTTTGAACTAGGATGGAATCCTGTTCATGCATGAGAATTTGGACTTCTGGTCAACTATGGGTTGTCATGTCATTCTTTTCCAGAAGATGTTCTTTCTGGGGACCTACTCTTCAGTCAAAAAGAAGAGACAGAGGCTGACAGTGCGGTGACTGACTGTCTGAGTAATTATCAGGTATAAAGACCATGTTTCCTTTTACAAACTGACTCTTTGCATCCACCAGCTAGACACCTTTCTAAGCAGCCTTGACTCCAGGGTTAAAGGAAATAAGGCTTTATTTGAGGATTGTGTTCCTAGTTGAATTTCCCCACAGAGTGGAGTGTTTCACAGTGGTGAAGAATTACCTTGAAAATTATTGTAGCATTTTAGTAATTTTTAATCTTTTAACCTTTTAAATTAGCTACATTGATAGTATGAGAGGGTCTTACTGATAATTCAGTTTTTATATACAGTGTACTTGAAAAATTTCACCCCGTCTTATATTCCTTAACGTCCCTTCTCCCTACCCCCTTTTCAAAAGCATCATGTGAGTTTCATTTTGCTGTCTTCAGATATACACATGTGGTGGACTTTAATCTTTTTCACTCATCCATACCCTTTCCTCCTCCCTGCATCTGCCAGTTCTACCCCAAACATTCCTTTTACACTCATGTTCCATTATTGTATTATTTTCATTTATGTTTTAGAGTCCACAAATGAGTGAAAGCATTCGGAAATTTGCCTTTTGAGCTGGGCTTATCTCACTTAATGTGATGACCTCCAGTTCCATCCACTTTCCTGAAGTTAAATAATTCATTTTTTTTATGATTGAATACTCCATGGTGTGTGTTTGTGTATGTTTGTGTACCACATTTTCTTTACCCATTTTTTGGTTGTTTGGCACTCAGGCTTGATTCTACAGTTTGACTGTAGTGAGTAGAGCTGCCATATGACTTACACTCCTGTAGTGCTATGGCCAACAGTGGTATGGCATGGTCATACTTTTATTTTTGTTTATTTATTTATTTTTGGTGGTACTAGAGTTTGAACTTAGACTCTTTAGCCTGCTAGGCAGGTACTCTACTACTTGAGACCCGAATCCCCAAGCCCAGGTAATCTTGGTCTTCATGTTGCCAAATGCATGTTTCTTGTTTTGCTCAGTGTTCTAAAAGATAATGAGAAAGGTGAAAGTGTCATTGCTCTATTTCATCTATTTCATTGATTTATTTTCATCATTTATTAAATGCACACAGTATGCCCATGGGTATATAACTGAAGAAGGTAAGACAAGAAGGAGATCTCTGTCTGTAGTTAGGTAAGTTTGTGTTTGAGATGTGCTATTAGAGCCATGGGACTGAAGCAGATGAATAGTGAGTGTGTGGCTAGAAAAGAGTCAGTCCCTAAGGCCTCTGAAACCTGGGGTAGACAGTGAAGGATTTGAGATGTACAGTATTGGGTCTCCCATCCTTATTCTCCTGTGAAATTGGGTGGCTATATTGTGTAGCTCAGCCAGCATGCCTGTGATGGTTTAGGATTTGGTGACCTTTGAGGATATGGCTGTGGACTTCACCCAGGAGGAGTGGACTTCAAAGAGCTCAGCTCAGAGAAACATACATAATGATGTGATGGTGAAGAACTACAAGAACCTGGCCACAGTAGGTGAGACTGTTACCATTTCTCATAATCTGACATGGATCAGGTACTTACTATTCTGGTATCTCTCACCTCTGAGAATGGGAAATAGCAAAGACAGTATCTCTCCTAATACATAATCTACTATGGTAGGGGTTGTGCCCCTGCCTTGGTGCTGGATATCACCAGTGCCTCATACATGCACAATCACTTAACTTAGCTACATCCCCAGCCTACTGTTGTAGTGTTATTTTTTTTTTGTGTGGGACTGGGGTTTGAACTCAGGGCTGCAAACTTACAAAGCAGGTATTCAACCTCTTGTGCTGTGCCTCCATTCCATTTTCTTCTGGTTATTTTGGAGATGAGGCCTCTCAAACTGTTGCCTGGCCTTAAACCTCAATCCTTCTGATCTCAGCCTCCCTAGTAGCTAGGATTGCAGGTGTGAGCCACCAATACCCAGCTAGTGTACTTATTTTATTTGATTAAAATGTTAGAGCTTTGGAAATATAAGTAATATATCAATTAACATTTCAGTGGTCAGAGATTATTAGTCTTTGGGATTACAGAATGTGTCGATGTTTGCCTTTTATAGTTTTAAAATAATTTCACTGCTTTCATTAGAATTATAGACATGAGTTGTAGGATGATTTCTCATCTTTTCCATGAATGCGTCTTTCCCTATGTATAGGATGTCAGACACTCATCAAACCCAGTGCTATGTCTTGCTTGAAAGAAGAAGAAGAGATGATCGTGCAGAGCGGAGTTCTCCCAGGTGAGTGTGGAGAACACCCCTGGCAACTGACAACAGATTCAGTATATGCAGGCATAGTGAGGAAACTTTCCTTGAGATGGTCTTTTTTTTTTTTTTTTCTTCAAACTATAAATTAATTGTACAAAGGGGTTTCATTGTGATATTATATACATGCATATAATGTACTTTGATTAAATTCATCCTACCTATATTACTATTTGTAATATCCCCTTTAAACACTTTTTAGTAAATTTCATTGATTTTTTTTTTTTTTTAATTTTTGGTGGGACTGGGATTTGAACTCAGGGCTTCAACTTGCAAAGTAGGCACTCTGCCTCTTGAGCCACATCTCTAGCCCATTTTTCTCTGAATATTTGGAGGTGGGGTCTCCTTAACTATTTGCCTGGGCTAGCCTCGAATCATGATCCTCCCTGTCTCAGCCTCCCAGGTAGCTAGTGTTACAGGAGTGAGCCATTGGCACCCAACTGTGCTGTTTTCATACTTCTGGATAATGTATTTCTGATTATATTCACCCCCATCACCTCTCTTTCTCCTTCCTCATCCTGTTGCTTCAGCACCCCTCCCTCCCCAGTCGTCTTTCTATAATCATGAGTCTTAATTCATAGCCCAGGGTGATCTGGAACTGGATCATCCTGTCTCAGCCTCATGAGTGCTGGAATCACAGGTGCGAGCCAATTTATTCTTTGTTTTTTGTTATTTTTCATTTTTGCAGTTTTATCTCAAGACCTTCCCCATGCTATGCAGGTACTCTACCACTTGAGCCATGCCCCAGCCCTAAACATAAGTTATTTCATGTAAACCAGTTTTTTGGTTTAATTTCAGAATTGGAAAGGCAACTGCAAACCAAAGATTCAGTACTTCAGCAGAATTTTTTTACCAGGCATACCTCTAGTACACAAAGGGTAAGTTTAACAAAGTATATTTTCTATATTACACATTCAGGCAAGATTGAGAATTCAATTAAAGGAAGTGAGGACGTGGAGAGTTACTTTAGAGAAATGGGTTTCACACAAGAAGGAAGCAAAGTCTTTGCATATATTCTAATAATGAATGTAGTGATAATGTGAAGCATGTATCTTTCCAAAAATGGCATGATTGGACAAACCAGGGGATGTGTTTCCTTGTAGGTATAGATCCACCTATAGAGCTGGTCAGTGCTAAAAAAAAAACTCATCCTGAAACTGTGGTTGAATTTCACCGGACAGCCACACATTACATATTAGTGAGGGAGTTCCCTAAAAATATCTCAGTTTTTTGTGGGTGCTCTGATACGTGTTAAGGGAGATGAAAGTCATTTATGAAGACTTTGTAAATGTGCTCAGTAGTGTGCTACAATTTAGCAGAATAGAACTCTTACTCTAGTTGTAGTGAGATGAGGTCACATGTAAGATGCCAAAAGCTGTATGGTTGGGGGACCATTGAACCTTGGTTAAAACCAGGGGAGACCTTAGAATCTTTCTTAGCATTGGTGTTACTTCCTCACTCTCCAGTGAGTATCGGTAGATATGCTGCTTGGCTTAAACCAGTATGTCTGTGATGATACAGGACTCAGTGACTTTTGAGGATGTGGCTGTAGACTTTACGCAGGAGGAGTGGACTTCCTTGGACCCAACTCAGAGAAACCTTTACAAAGATGTAATGCTGGAGAACTACCAGAACCTGGCCACAGTAGGTAAGTCTGCCATCATTCCTAAGCCTTTTAGACAACAGAATATGTACTTGCTGTGTCCCAAGATTAGTGATGTCAGCTCAGAGTACAGTGGGAAATAAACAGACACAGTCTTTTATTAATAGACTAAACAGCGTTTAATTAGTTAGTTGGTAGTTCTCAACTAAATGTTTCTAGGATCGATAGCATCACCATTGCTCTATTAGTAATGTGCATTCTGAGATTGTCTTTGTCATTCATTTTCTAACAGTCATTCCACATGGATCTGTTTCACTCTAAAGGTGTGAGAACCAGTGTTGTAGGTTTTTTTCCCTATGAAAATAAAGACCTGGATCATATGGCTCCAGTGGCCCTTACATCTTACTAAAAGACAGCCTTAGTGGCTTTGCGTGTATATCTTTTTTTGTTTTTTAAACCCACAATATTTAGAAGTAACTAGACCAAGAGTATTATGCTCCTTTAGCAATTAAATGTGAGATTAAGCCTGAATTACAGAATAAAACCAAGAAAACTGATCTCTTCAGGATACTAAAGCATGAGTATTTGTATTTTGTTGATCCTTTCATTAATTTCTTATTTTTATATTGATGGTACTGGGGTTTGAACTCAGAGCATTCTGCTTGCTAGGCAGGCACTCTGCTGCTTGAGCTACTCTGCCAACCCAGAAATACAGCTTTCTATCATGGGAAAGTTTGTCATCTATTACATGAGTCTCTTCCACTGATGTATCTTTCTTTGTGTATAGGAGGTCAGCTGTTCAAACCCAGTGTTATCTCTTGGTTGGAGGAAAAAGTAGAGTTAACAGTAATGGAGCGAGGCATTCTCAAGGTGAGTGTTTGTGAAAAATATTGTCATTGGTATGTTCCATATGTTTGGAAGTATAGTGAAACTTTCTAAAGATGACTTTACTCTGAAGGCTAACGTCCTTGAACTGATTTTTGGGATATTGTCAGTGAGTTCAACGTTGACCTGCTTAGTGGTTCTGTTTGTGTGGCTGTTTCCTGTTTTCCTTCCCTAATTATATTGTTTCTGTTCACCATTAAATTTAAGTTTCATTGAAACAATTTCCAGACTTCTGTATTTTAACCTCACGTCTTTATGATTGGCAAGTTTCAAGCACAGGCAAACTACTGGAGTCTATCTTTTTATTGTTTAGCATGTTTAATATGTTTTAATAATGTTTAACTTAATGTTTAATTCAGTTTTATCATTTTAGTTTAAGCTCTCATTTTGTTGTGCAGATCTTTATAATTGTTTTTCTTTTCACTTCAGAATGGGAAATGCACCTTAAAACCAAAGCAATAGCACTCGAGCAGGATATATTTTGTTCAGATGCATCAAGTGGGATACAGCTGGTAAGAGTAACAAGGATATTTTTTAGTTTCCAAGTTCATGGAAGATTGGGAAGTCCCAGAAAGCTGATAGCATGAATGAGAGATATTTGAGAGAAGTAGTCATGACTCATAAGGAAACAATTTCCTTTTCTTTCTTAGGGTCTCATTTGTAGCCCAGTCTATCCTTGAACTTACTAGGTAGTCCAGGCTAGCTTTCATCTCACTATATAACCTAGGCTGGGCTTGCAACTTTGTGCCAGCATGCTTGGTACAGGGGAGCAGTTTTCCTATAGAGATGCCCCAAATTAGTATGAAGTTTGCTGCTTCAGAATTGCCACAAGTGCACATTTCTGGACTGGAGGATTGATTCAGTGTACAGTGAAGGCCCTGAGTTCAACCCAAATACCACTAAAAATAAGTAAAGAACAAGTACACATTTCTGTGTAATTCTGAAAAATCCTTTAATCCTCATTTATCCCTTTACATTAACAGGCAAAAAGGCACAATGGAAGGGAGCTCTGTGACTCTAAGCACGTTGGAAAAATCTTGAGTGAACACTCAAATATGCGTATTCCAAACACAGAGAACACTTCTGAGTGTAATCAGTATGAGAAAGACTTCCTTCCGCTGCTCAAGGAAACCTCCATAGAAGAGAAACTTGCTCTGTCGGGTCCCTTGACTCCAGATGATAACCAGAGAGTATTCACGGAAGACAAATCCTTTGAATGCAAGTCAGAGCAGTGTGGTCAAGCTTTTACTCCCCCCACAAGCCGTGATGGATGTGTCCAAATGCCCACTGAGAAAAAATACTATGAATGTAAGAAATGTGACAAATTCTTTTCACATCCTATCTACCTTAGTATTCATATGCAAAGCCACACTGTGGAGAAACCCTTTGACTGTAAAGAGTGTGGGAAAGCCTTTGCTGAGCGCTCAAGCTTAATTGTCCATCTCCGACAACACACTCGGGAAAAGTCCTATGAGTGCAAGGAATGTGGGAAAGCCTTCATTCAACCCTCACGCCTTACTGAACATATGAGAAGTCACACAGGAGAAAAGCCCTTTCAATGTGACCAGTGTGGGAATGCCTTTGCTTCTTCTTCTTACCTTACTACACACTTGAGAACTCACACTGGAGAGAAGCCTTTTGAGTGTAATGTATGTGGAAAAGCATTTACGCGTTCCTCCTACCTTCTCGGTCACATACGAACTCACACTGGAGAGAAGCCTTATGAATGTAAAGTATGTGGGAAGGCCTTCAGTGGGCGCTCATGGCTTACTATACACCTACGAAAGCATACTGGAGAGAGGCCCTATCCATGTACAGAATGTGAGAAAGCCTTTACCAGCTTCGCTCAACTTACTGAACATATAAAAACTCACACTGGCGAGAAGCCCTTTCGATGTAAGGTATGTGCAAGGACCTTTAGAAATTCCTCATGCCTTAAGACCCATTTTCGGATTCACACTGGAATAAAACCGTACAAATGTAATTACTGTGGGAAAGACTTCACTGCACGCTCGGGCCTTACTAAACATGTACTGATTCACAATGGCGAGAAGCCGTATGATTGTAAGGAATGCGGGAAAGCCTTTGGTACATCCTCAGGTCTTGTGGAACATATAAGAATTCACACAGGAGAGAAGCCCTTTGAATGTTACCAGTGTGGGAAAGCTTTGGCTCATTCCTCATCTCTTGTTGCCCATTTGAGAACTCACACTGGAGAGAAGCCCTTTGAGTGTAACATGTGTGAGAAAACATTTACGCGTTCTTCCTACCTTCGCATTCATATGCGAACTCACACCGGAGAGAAGCCGTATGAATGTAAGGAATGTGGAAAAACGTTTCCTGAGCGCTCTTGCCTTACTAAACACATAAGAACACATACTGGGGAGAGGCCCTATGAATGTAAGGAGTGTGGGAAAGGCTTTACCAGCTTTGCTCAACTTACAGTACACATAAAAACTCACAGTAATGAGAGGCCCTTTCAGTGTAAGGTATGCACAAAGTCCTTTAGAAATTCCTCATCACTTGAGACCCACTTTAGAATTCACACTGGAGTAAAACCCTATAAATGTACTTACTGTGGGAAAGCCTTCACTGCTCGCTCTGGCCTTACTATCCATTTGCGAAATCATACTGGGGAGAAGTCCTATGCATGCCAGGAATGTGGGAAAGCCTTCACCACTTCCTCAGGCCTTATTGCACATATAAGAAGTCACAAGGGAGAGAAGCCCTTTGAATGTGACCACTGTGGGAAGGCCTTCGCTTCCTCTTCATATCTTAATGTACATCTGAAGATTCACACTGGAGAGAAGCCCTTCCAGTGTACAGTGTGTGGAAAAACATTTACATGTTCTTCTTACCTTCCTGTTCACATGCGAACTCACACTGGAGAGAAGCCCTTTCAGTGTATGATATGTGGAAAGTCATTTTTGTGGTCCTCTTATCTTCGAGTTCACATGCGAATTCACACTGGAGAGAAGCCCTATGCATGTCAGTACTGTGGAAAAGCCTTTACTGAGCACTCAGGCCTTAATAAGCATTTACGAAAACACACCGAAGAAAAACCGTATGACTATAAGGAATGTGAGGAAACCTTCACTGGTTCTTCTGATGTTAATGAACATGAAAACTCCCACTGGAGAGAAACCCTTTGAACGTAAGGAATTCAGAAAGTCTTTTAAGAAGCCCTCTACCCTTTGTTATCACAATG